TTATAAGAGACTTCTTGTGAAAATTTAAAAGTTAAACCCCCCATTTGAGTCCCTCAACTATTGTAGTAACCTCTTGATTTAGTTCTTTAACTTAAAAAATCTTTGATTTAGTCATTATTGTTTATCATTTTGGCCCCCGTTTAGTCTTTTCATTAAAAATTTATCCTGTTAGTTGACCAAAAAGGGTGACATGTAGGATTGATAGCATGACATATAAAACTTGACACGTAATTTCTAGTAAAAATTAAAATATCTAAAATTAATTATACAACTAAAATTACATTTTTACCCTCATCTTTAACCACACATCAATTTCTTTCCAGTTTCCTTTTTTTACCCCTTCATTTTCATCCCTAGCATCTTATCTTCATCTTCTTCCCCTAGATCCTTGTTCATTGGCCTTGGGGGTTTTGGGTTTGATTGATGAACCCAGTAGGCGCTACTAGGTTCAATTGATGAACCCTTACTAGGTTGGATTGAAGAATGCTAGGTTTGATTGATGTACCCTTGTTGGGTTCGATTGAAGAATGCTAGGTTCAATTGATGAACTATTGCTAGGTTCGATTGAAGAACTGTTGCTAGGATTCATTAAAGAACCCAACAGGCGCTATTGGGTTCAATTGAAGAACCTGACAGGTGTTGGGTTCCCTTTTCTCCTTTTTTCATCTCTTCATCTTCTTTTTCCTCATCTCTTCTCCTCCATTTGAAACTTCTCTTTCATGTCTCTCCCTTCTTCCTCCACAAGAATCAAAGTTTTTGTAGAAATTTGGGGGAAGATACGTTGATTTTTCTGGGTTTTTTGGAAGGCTAAGAGGGCAGTGACCATTTTGGGCGATTTTGGGTTTATGTTTGTGTTATGCATGGATTTGATGTTAGAATATGTCTGAGTTTGCAGAAGGTGAAAGGAAAGGAAAAAGAAGAAGAAGCGGTTGCTGGGTTCCATTGACCTAGCGGCTATTGGGTTCGAAAGAACCCAGTCGTGTTAGGTTCCTTTTGGGTTCTTTTGAACCCAGCTTTCAAACCCAACGAAAGAGAGAAATTGAAAGAGAAAATGTCTAGATCTAGTGTTGGGGGAAGGATAGAGAGAGAAAAAAAATGAAAGGATGAAATTGCAGGTTTCATTGATGGCAATTGTAGGTTTCGTCTTTAGGGTTTGTAGAAGGCAAGGTAAGGAAGAAGAAGGAGAAAAAGGAAAAAAAAGAATTTTTTAAGTATTTTTTGCCATATCATAATTTTTTTTGGCCATGTTGTCTTGCTGCGTGTATTTAATATTTGACACATCATCATGCTCATGTTAGTTAACAAGACACGTAAGCGAATTTTTAACAGAGGGACCAAGTTGGAGTCAAAATAGTAAACAATAGGGATTATATCAAGGTTTTTTTGAGTTGAGAGACTAAATCAGGATCCTTATAATAGTTGAGGGACCAAAATAAGAATTTAACCACATTTAAAACGTGGGTTTCAATCCCACACTAACGTTTAAAAAATAAAAATAAAAATAAACAAGTGCTCAGATTTGACTGTTTGACTAGCGAAACTTGCTACAGAAGTAGGGGGAAACTGGGAGTGGTATTTAGCTCTCGAGGCAAAAATTAATTTCTTCGTCGAAGCCCTTTATTTTTTTTAGAAATTAATCAGTTCTATAGCAAGACGGGCAAATTTCCATTTTCAGATCGATCCAGCCTATCCGACAGGTAGGCTTCTCGTGCTCCAACTTTTCATCTTCATCATGGGTTGAATATATACATGCTGAATTTGTTGTTTTGATAATTTTCCCTCTCATTTCTTCAATTTTTCTACTGTCTTGTTTTGTTGGTTGATCGGTTTTTTGAATATATCTTCCTTAATTTTTCTATTATTAGCAAAGGAAGGCCTGGATCTGCTTAAGTATTAATTGTTTAATGAGATCAGCTAATTATAATCTTCAGTTATTCTACTGTGTTGTTTGTTAATTTTTAGTTGAATATTAAAGCTTACTTAATTTTCTATCAACAGCTAAGGAAGGCTTGGATATACTTAAGTATTACTTGTTTAGTGAGATCAGCTAACTCTAATGAATAATTTCCTATATTGTATCTGTCACCAGGAAGAATTAATGGCAGGGGGAGGAAACAGACGAGGACGAGGACGAGGACGAGGACGTCCGCCACTGCCCGAAGGAGAAAGGAAGAGGAGGAAAAATGCACATGATAGGGAAAGTCGCGCAACTATAAAGGTAAATAAATTAATTGTCCTGTTGTTTTCATATGGATTGTTGGGTAGTGAATAAGTATTAATGTCGAATATGTGTGGAGAGGAATTTATCTGAGTTGAACCTTAATTCTCTCTTATAAAACTTTTTGAAGATGCTCTTTTACTGTATTATTGCTCTAATTTCCAGTTCTTCGTATAAGTCCTCAATGGACTGAGAGTACTTATTGCGTGCTTAAATTGATTCAATCAATTATTAGGAGGTGATTATAAACATACTTATCTGCTTAATTATGAGAATTACTTGTGAATGTTTCTCTATCAATCTCAGTAACTCGTATAGGAATTTGAATGCATTTTAACCGTGGGAAGATTGTGGAAATTGATAAGGGAAATAAATACTTTATTATTTGATGAATTATTATTGGTCTGTTGGAGAAAGGCATGTTTTGTGATGCTAGTTTGGCTAAAAGGTGTCATATCCCACCCCTTTGTTATATAGTATTCCTTAATTTTGCCTTGTGACTGACAAAACCTCAGCATATATGCATTCATTTAAAATTCCATCAGAATGTTTTGAAACTAGGTAATTAAGGACAAAGATTTTGACATTGACCCTGCAAAGACTTGGTTAACAGAACATTAGAAGGTAGCTAGCTAGCATTAATCATAGAGCTCTTATATATAGCAAAATTAGGTACGTTAGTTTTTGGCATTTAAAATCAGACTAAGGCACAGGAAAAGCTTAGCACAAGAATAACAGTAATAATTAGATAAGCTAAAGCTTGAGTTTGGAATCACATATAGCTAGAAATATACGAATATAATTAGTTCTTAACAGAGAACAGATGATGGTTAAGCTTGTACATGACTGGAATAGCTAAGTTTCAGCATCAAATTAATATACATAAGGTTTAACAAAAGGCTATGTGTAGCTGAAAGTAAATGAGTGTCAAGTGTTTATAAACACACTTAATAAAGCTAACATACAAAAGGCCTACGAAATAATGGGGCCAAATTCTAGTTTTTTTGGGTAAATATACAGGTTTGCATGGGTTATTGAGTGAATGCTCACAACTGACATAGAAGACTCTGGAGTAGCAGCTAGGATGTCAGCTAAACTGGACACACCTCTTACGCCAGTCTGAAATGAGATGCAATACACTAGGGTGAGCTTGAGAAAGCCAGTAAGTACATATACATACATACATATATATATATATATATTATGGCTTCAACTATAACTGAGCCTTATAGTTATTAGTCAATTTTAAGACATGCTAAAAACAAGCTACTGAATTTAGAAGAGTAATAGAAATGCTGATCACAGATTTTGCTTGCACATAATTTAGATAATTAGGATGCTACAGACCAAGTCACGACAGTTAGCATAAGCTTTTCATAACAAAATTAGGCATAAACTAAATGGTGTACATCAACAAAATAGGTTAATATTCATGCCTTTCATAATGAGCCAGTCTCAATATAAATGAAACTTAAACAAAAACTGAACAAACATAAACACCAAAAATAATTCCACCAGTGTTCATGTACTCACACTCTAGTAATAAAGCTAAACTCAGCACATCCACACTGCACACGGAGGTCCACTATTTGCGTTTGTGATTTATTTATTGTACACCTCTAAGGGATCGACTATTCCCAAATCCCAATCCGTATGGTTAGCTAGGCTCTAAACTTCAATGGTTCTAAGGCAATGGCATACGTACTAGATTAAGCATATGATTAAACAATTAACATGCATAACATGTTAAACCAAAACATAACACTCACCTACAAGATCATGCATAACATAATCTGTTTATGGCATAAATCATCATTAGAAGCTATCATATAAATTTATGCATGCAAATATGTCATTCATCTTAATTACATTCAATCCCAAGAACAAGCATAGAATGTTCTGTTCCTAGCCTAACGTGCATGTCATTCATCTTGCATTCAATTTCTCTTAAGTTAGTCTGTGATGTTGATGACCGTAGAAAAAGTGGTGTGGGAGCTGCTTTGGGGATGATACATGGGTAGTATGATTTTTCTATTATGTTAGATTATGACCTGAGTATGTTTATACTATGTATGTGTGTGTGCGTGTGTGTGTGTGTGTGTGGTAGGTGTTTGGGTATACATGGTGTTGGTTTGAGGTAATCTCTATACATACTCACACTGCCCTGGAGTTTCAAACTCCTCCTTCTTTATATGGTTTTCTTTCATAATAAATTAATGTCAAGCAAAAAAGAGGGTAAATAAATTAATTTCCTGTCATTTCCACTTTTCAAAATTCTTGATTCTCTTTTGCTTGCTTTGGGTACAAAGGAAGGCCTTCACAATTGTCAGTGCTTAAATATATATATATTTTGGTTCAATTGATTTGATTAAGTTTCAATTGAATGAAATTATTTCATGCTATCATGTATCAGGGCAGTGATTTTGTGGATATTTGTGCTTGTA